CCTTGTTTTTTTGCATTTTTTTCCTTTGTGAGGTTCTGTTTCAATGTTTTTTTCATTCTTATGTTCCAAATAGTTCATTTAATACTCAGTTTCATCCCCTCCACTGTTGGTTCCCTGTAGATTTTTCTTCATTTCACTTAATGTAATCTTCATTTCTGCCTGAGTCTTTTTTATGTTGTTTCCATACTCAGTGAGTTCTTTGAGCCTCCTGATAACGAGTCCTTTGAACTCTGCATCTGATAGGTTGGTTATGACCCTTTCATTTAATTCTTTTCCTGGAGTTCTGTTCTTACAATTGGCCACATTTCTTTGTCTCTTCAATTTGGCAGCTTCCCTGTGTTTGTCACTGTGTATAGGTAGAACTGCTTACTGTAGACACTCCAGCCCCATACACACAAGCTCTTTCCACGTTACCTGGCAATAGCTACCTGTCGGCAATTCTCTGGACCAGGTAGAGTGCATGTCAATGACACAGGCTATCCCAGGAAGGACGGATGAGAGGAAGAGGTGTGCAAGATGCTGGTAGCTGTTCAGGACCACTTGGGCAGGGACTTCTCTCATCTTTAGTTCCTGAAATGTGGGCCAGAAGGGGAAGCACGAGCTCCAGGTGGGCATGCGCCCTTATCCCTGTGTACCAGAGCTATGACTGGAGGAAGGCCACAGCGGGGCCCTGCACGATGTGGAATACAGGGCAGGGGCCTCGGGTGTCTGGATGTAAGGGTGGCACTGGCATTTGGCATCCCCTTTTGGTGGTATCCCCATGCTGTCCTGGAGGGCTGCCTGGACTGCCCTGGCTCTGCTGCCTGCTTTGCGAATGGCTCTGGCTGCCCAGGCTCCTTCATTCTTCCATTGTCTGCACCTCCCCAAGGTCTTTTCAGTAATTTACTTTTCTGTTTACCTCAGCTAGTGATTTTCAATGGTTGAAGTAAGCATCCTATTAATCTTTTTTTGGCGGGGGGGACTCGACCCTATGCCATGTCAGCTCTGAGATTACTAAGGGCCCCAAGCTAACAGATACTGTGGTACTGAGGGTTGCCATGCCAGGAGCTGCCATTTACATAGCCTACAGGGAAAACGGGGTCCCTGCAGTTGTGCCATGATGCTGTCCTGCCTGACAGGCATGGGTGTTCCTGACAGTGCTGGGGTTTCCCAAGAGGAACGGTGATCTGATTGTAATGGGAGGACATTGACATTCATGGGGTCCTGTCAGTAATGGGGCCACCGAGAAGTGTTGGGACGTCCTGCCAGGGTTTCTGAATCGATGGGGGGCTTGAGTGTGGTGGCCCTGGAAATCTGACAGGTATGGGGCCAGAAGGGTGACTGGGGTTTTGATGGTGTTGGGTTCAGATTTCCAAGGACTACCGCTCTGATATCCAGAACATGGGGGATCTGGTTGTCTCAGCAGGGCAGCGTTGAAGCTGCTGGGGTTAAAGCCATCCCAGTTTGGTGGGTTGGAGCCCAGGGCAGCTCACGCCTTCTGCCTCCCCAGAGGAGCCACGGGGCGACTTGAACGTCCTTGGAACAGAAGTAGGGCTGAGGTCCGACTCCCTCATCTGCTCTGATCCTTAGAGATTCTGCCCTAACCCTTGCTGCAACGAAAGTTGCAGCAACGTAAGAATGAGAAAAGTACTGAAAGCAGTGCTCAGCTCCTGTTAAGCGCTCGTGGTGAATTAGCTGGTACTACAGAGCCATGTCCTTCCATGTGGGCAAAGTCTTAGGGGCCAAGGAGAAACTTCTCTGGCCAGAGAGGTGCCTGCTTGTTCTTGCAGAGGACCTCTTGAAGGAAACTCCCTACTTGGGAGTCCTGCCCCTTTGTGAGACTATTTCCAAGGTTTTCTGAGTTTCCCGGAGCCAGAGAAGGGGGGCACAGAGGGCTGTTTACCAAGAAATTGAACATGAGATGATGAAAACATGACCAAAACTGCACGGGGCTAAGTGTGACCAAACACCCACACAACACTGACAGCCCCGCTGTCTTGAGAACTGGATGTCCTCCAGGTGTGAGTGGTGGAGGGCATCATGGGAAAGGGCCATGTTCCACCCCCCATTTTGTTAATCAGATGTGTACTGCAGCTTGGTCTGTGGCAGCCCCAGTGCAGAACAATGTTGGCAGTGGAGATGACAGGCCCAATCCCTTCCGCTGGGAACTCTATCAGAGGGCCGGACAGGGAGCTTTTGTCCAGCTATGAAGGTAGAGGCTCCCCGAGCAGGGATGTCACCTCCCTTTAGGCAGATGCTGGCTCCTGGGTAGGGAGGGATCGCTCAGCTGCTGGCCTGAAACCTGTAGCGGGTGCCACGTGCCCTAGAGAGGAAGGTGTCTACCTGTCTGAGCAGGCAGCAGGGTCCCCGTACCCTGGTTGGGGAGCTAGGAGCCCGTACTACCCCTAAGAGAGCTGGCAGCTTCGTCATGGTCAGGGAGGCCGGCAGGCTCCTGGCCCAGCAGAACTCAGGATAATAACGATGCCACCTTTAGGGAATTACAGGGAAACAGGGAGCGGATGTTAGTTAGATGAAGTCACAGTGCGGAGAAAGTTCGAGTGAGTCAGGACCGAGTCCCACATTGCTGGACTGAGCCCTCCTGTCTCTGGCAAGGAGAAAAGGAGAGGAAACCCAGTGCTCAAGAGGGATTGGTGGCTGGAGATGAGGAAAAGAGGGGGGAGAGCGAGCCAGGACGAAGGGCACTGGGTAGAGAAACGGTGGGGAGCGCTGCATGGCTGCTCTCTGTTGGACTTCGGTGCCTGCCCCCGCACCCTCGCAAAGTTCTTCATTTGCTTCACCAGCTTTTAGACGGTTTTCTCTCTTCCTGAGTCTCAGCTTCTCCTGTGTTCCCAGAGGGTGTTCCGTTTCTGAGCGTGTGTGACTTTGGGGAAGCCCGTGTGAATGACGGGGGGTTTAGCCTGAGACCCAAAGACTCGTGAGTCAAACCTTTATTTGGAGGGATTCTTCAAAATTAAGCTGCCCACCCATCTGACAGATGGGGGAACCGGGGCCTTGGGGGCAGGAAGGAAAGATCTTGCCTAGAATTTAACAGTGAGGGGCAGAAAGAGGTTTGTGGGGTTGACGGCTGAGCACTGAGCTCAAGGCCTATCCCTGCAACGCGCAGCGGCAGTGGCAGGAAAGCGGTGTCCGGGGGATCTCTGTCCTGGCAGCCCCTTCCTCGGGGCTCCTACCCCCTCCTCCAGTCCTCTATCTGGGTGTCTTCCCCAGCGTCCGGAGGGATGGTTTGTGCCTGCCTCCGTGTTAGGCTGACCTCTGCTTGGCTTCACCGGGAACGGAGGAGTTGAGGCGACGTGCCCCCCTCACGCCTATGTTTGTCCTCTGCCTGCTGGGGTTCAGGGCATAGAACCAGTGTGGTAGCCGCAGCTGGGACATGTAGACCCCCATGGCTGGCTGGCCGGCCGGCCGGCTGGCCTAATGGATGGACGTGTGGGTGGGTGGGAGGATGGCTGGAGGTGTAATGGATGCGGGGGCATTAGAGGGATGAATGCACGGTTGCTTGAATGGATGGGTAATTTCTCTCAGGCAGCGGAGCCAGACTTCCCAGCCATGACCCTTGTCCTTGCAAACTATCCCCATGCCTCCCACTCCTTGTAACTCTAAGACCCGGGAAACCTTAGGTTTCCAACACTTGCTTCGGGGGAGCAGAGGGAGGGAGAAGCTGTTCTGCTCTCCGCTCGGTGAGGAGGGGCTGGCACAGCCGCCTAACCACCTCTGCCCTTCCCAGGCTGCCCAGGCTTGCACAGGCCTGGTTTTGTTCCCAGATGTAATGAGTCTGGCACAGTGAGGGGCACCCTTGCCAGGCGAGGATGCTCCGTCTGTCGCTCGGCTGCCATTCAAGCCCAGTGGCGCAGATTTGCTGCCCCCAGCCGGACCTCAGAGGCCACAGCTGGGCAGCCGGCTCGTTCCCCGGAGGACTTGCCACGCACAGGAGGCTCACTCCTTCCGGAGCGGCCCTGGGCCGCTCTAAGGGTTACAGGGCTTTTGTCTCCCGGAGCTGATACCCCTTCGCTGCGAAGCTCCTGGTGGCAGTGTTGCCTTGGCCCGGGAGCCCCTGCGGGCCTCAGGGGTGGGGTGGGCTTCCTTCAGGCAGAATCACTCCAGCATCCCTGCCTGCGCTTCTCCCGCCCTCTTGGCCCTGTCCTATCCCTCGCGTCTGTCTCCCAGGTCTGTCTGCCAGTGTCCTGGGAAGTGCGGTCCCAGATGGTGCCGGCCCCGGCCCAGACTGACTGGGTGAGGGAAAAGGGCTGGCCTGGAGGTCAGAATCTATAGGGACAGGGCAGCCTTCACCCCTGGCTGCCAAGCCTCTCTTCACATATTTATTCACTTTCTAGAGAAATATTTGAGTGACTGCCTTGTGGCAGGCAGTGTCTGAACAGCATGGAGACAGTGGAAACCAAACAGACAAGAGCCCTGTGCAGAAGGCTGACAAACTAGCCATCATAGCTCAGTGCGATGGGTGCTGTCGGGGGAGAGGGGCAGGGGTTCCTGGGTGGTGAGGAGGGAGGGAGGCTACCTAGCCCAGCCTGGGGTCAGGAAATGCTTCTGGAGGAGGTGTCATTCAGACCCAGATGGTAGGCTGAGTGGGCAGGAGAGAAGAGTGTTCCAGACAGAGGGAATGGCATGGGTGGACGGGGACCTCCCCCAGGCAGTCCAGCGGCCCGTCTCCCCTCTAGCCCTGAGAGGTGGTTCCTGGCAGTTCCCTTCCCCCAGTGACACCTGATCCTTGAGACACCTGTATGTGGGAACGCCTGCCTTAGCGAGCAGAGATCAGGAGGCACAAGAGAATTTGGCTTGTTCAGGGCACTGACACAGGTCGAGTGCTGCTGAACCTTGGAGCGTGACGGGGTTTTGAGGAGACAGGAGGTGGATCCTGATTGTGGGACCTTATCCTGAGGAGACAGGGGGCTAGGTGGAGTTTGGTGAGAGGTTTGCTCATGCTGTGGAGTGTAAAATAGATCCTGCCATTCCACTTCCCCCTTCCTATCATGGTCCTGGACAGAAAGCAAACAGGCAAATCGGTGGGTACCAGTGGGCTTTATTGGAAGCATTGCAGGCTGGGTGTGGAGAAGCTGTGCCCCTGCTACATTTACCCTCTCGCTCGCTCTCCTGCTCATATTCACACTCACACTCCCATTCACACCAACACTCCAGGCCCTGCTCAGGTCTGGTTGTGGAGGAGTCGATAGTCTGGTACTCTCTTCTAGTCCTTGGTTCACCAGGGTGGCAGTGATTCCCGTCCTTCACTGAGACACAGGGCTCTCTTGGGGGCTGTCATGGGTGACGTTCTCTGAGCTTGTTCTGGAGGCGGAAGGAGAGAGAAGTTCAGGGGCTGGGGTCCTGGGCCGTTGCTCAGAGGGAGGAGGCAGGGCTGGGGAGGGCAGGCTTGCCTTGGCAGCGTTTCTCTGCAGTCTCCAGACGATGCGTTGCACCCAGGCCTGGTCCGGAGGTGCGCAGAGCTGGTGACCTCTCAGTGTGGTGAACCTGGAGTCAGAGGTCAGAGGTCAGAGAGCATGGAGCCCTGGAACTCAGCTTCCTGGCAGGTACCGGTATGAGGGGCTGAGGTTGAGGGTCACATCTGAAAACCTATTTCAGGGGCTCCCTTGAGGAGGGTGGTCTTGGCTAGAGGAGAGATAAGAAAGTCGGGGATGACCGGGGAGATGAGGCTAGATGCCCTCCTCCCCAGAACTCACACAACGGCAGGCACTCGGCAGCCATCCTTGTAGAGGAGGTATCGGAAGGATCGCACCTTATTTCCAGGGATCGGGCGCTGGTTCACAGACAGGCAGCAGTCTTCTGCGTCATTGGCACCACCCTGAGCTGGGGCGGTCAATAGGTGATAGGTGAAAGGAGGTAGTGTTAGGATGAAGAGACCCTGAGTAGGGGAGACCACAGCCCTAAGTGGGTTCCAGGACACCTCTGTGTTTGTGAAGGCAGAGAACCCGATGTTTATCCAGTCTGCGCAACATGGCCCTCTTGGTTGCTAAATGCATTGAAATACCTCTAGGCTGTTTGTTAAACAGTCACAGTTTTGGGCCCCACGGAGGCCTTGCTGGTGCCCCATCACCCCAGCCTGTCTCCCACAAATGAAGACTTACTGCTATGTGGTATGTATACCTTTTTTTTGGTCAATCCCTTTACCTTCCTCCATCCAGGCCCCCAACCGCCTCCCCTCGGTCAGCTGTCAGTCTCTGCCATGTACCCACGCCTCTGTTTCACTCTTTTGTTCATTAGGTTCCACATGTAAGTGAAATCCTATGGTATCTGTCTTTGTCTGCCTGGTTTACTTGACTGACCGTAATAGTCTCCAGGTCAATCCTTGCTGTGTGGTGATAGCGAGAGGGAAAGGGGGACGGGGTGGGTGGAGGTGAGCAAAGGAGGGGATAAAGGGGTCGGAAGGGACTTTGCTTGGGGTGATGGGCGCCTGATGCAGCGTGCAGATGATGTTTTATACAGGTGCACACATGAAACCCGTATCGTTTGGCAAACCGATGTGACCTCAGTAAATTCAATTTCAATTAATAGTTAGTGCTGGTCACAGCATGGAATAATGGGGGAGAGGTGCGTGTGAGGTGGCAGGCGGCTGGGTTAGAGGACGTAGGAATTGTTAAATATATTGACTCTCAGCCCCGCCTCAGTGTCTTTTATTCTCCCCACGATAAGCAAATATATAGTGTTTTCTTCTTCTGCCTGGGAAACTGTGGCTGTAAGAGGTAGAGCCTGCAGAACAACGGGCAGCCAGGGGCCCTGAGATACACCCAGAGACCGACCCCCATTGGAATTCAGGGGCCCAGACGCACCCACACTCGCGGGCGTACACACAGGGCACCCCCAGGGGCACTGAACTGTGCCGACCTAACTCTCAGTGCCCTGCACGTCCAGTGCCAAGCAGTCTGAGATCTAGACATTTTCTCTCCTGCACCGCTCCCCGAGCCCCTGTCCCCGAGCCCCTCTCCCGGCCACCTCCCACCGCCGCCTTACCGCCTTACCGGGGGAGGTCCACAGGATCAGCAGGCCGATGAGGGCCAGTAGTGTGGCTGCAGAGGATGCCATGGCGGATGGACGGAGGCTGCCTGAGAGCGAGTCTGTGCGTGGGAATGAGACTCTGATCCTGTGCAGCAGGCTGTGTGAGGCTGAGGCTTGGCCTGGAGTGGCTCGGGTGGGAGTGGAAATGTCCCGGAGTCCCTGCCAGGTTTGTGGGGCTCTGGGAATGTGAGTACGGACGTCTGTGTAAGGCTGGACTGCTGACCGCCTATTTATGGCCCAGAGGAACTTTCACTATTTGTGCTCAGAAACCCCCCTTCACATTCATTATTTGGATTTCCCTTGCCCCTTGCTTCTTTCTGGGAACCTGACTCCGCCCTCCCTCTTCCCCCTTCCAGCAGCCTCCCACTCTGCTGCTTTCCTTGGCTTTAGCTGTGAGAACCCAAGCGGTCTGCAGTCTAGCGAAGCGAAGGAAACACTGTACTGCCAGCTCCTTTCAGAGGCCGGGCACTATCATCTCATTGGTGGCATTTGCGTTATCAACCACAGGACTGGCCTCCGGGGTCGTGGTCAGAATTGGGGGAGGGTTCAAAGCGAGGTTTAGTGCCCCCTTTCCTAGGTTTATCCTGCATCCTCCTGTGTTCTCCGCGGTTCTTGTCTCTGGTGCAGGTGGAAAAGAAGGCTCACTGGTACCACCCGAACAAGCACGGAGCCTGTGGTAGCCCCTCAAGACATCACGGTGCCTGCCCATCATCACCTGGGAACCCTCCCTTGAGACAAGCAGAGCTGAAAGGGAATGTTCCTTGGAGGGAGGCCCAGCACCCCCAACCCACATCTCAGGCCTCGGAGGCTCCAGTCCCTGGCTCAGAGAGCTCTGCCCCTTCCTGCGTTTACGGTTTTCCTATGTTCAGCACCTGGGTCAGTGGAACAGCTGGAGGAGTCTTGGCCCAGAAGAGCCCCCTTCATCTGTCCCCTTCTCTCAATCCTGGAAACCAAGAGGGGATTTCTAAGGAGAAGGGCTGGCCAGCTCATGTTCAGACAAATTCCCAAGTTTCAAGGAACTGACAGATGTGGAAGGGGGACAAGCGATTTCCCATCCTTACGAGAAAGACCCGAGATAGGCCAGAGGAGAACGCCTCGAAAGGGAGATGAATATATGGGATACCCATTCAACCACCCCGCCTAAGCTCGGGACCCTCATTTCGAGGGTGTGATGAGTCCCTCCTATGTTTTTAACTTGTCTTTCTTTTCACCCATTAAAAATAATATTAGTAGTAATAGTATTTGTGTTTGTTTGCTACGTCCTAGGCTCTGTATCAAGGACTTTATCACTATTATGTTGCTTCATTTTCCCAAGAAATTTATAGTCATTTTTATTATCACCTTATTGTCATCTATGTTTTAAACCAGAAAAATGAGGCTCAGAGCACGAGGTCACACAGCCAGCAAGTGCCTTGAATGCAGGTGTCTTTTGTTGTACAATTTGCACTGTCCTACTGTCCCGTCCTGCCTATCTGCCATCTGTGTATTGATCATAGACCAGGCCAGAGGAGTAAGGCTCCACAGATAGCATGCCTTGGTTGGGATTCAGATCCTACCACTTGCTACCTGTGTGACCACGTGCAAAGAATCCAGTTTCTGCAGGCAGTTGTTGACTATATTGGGATAATCCTGGGGAGCAGTGAGGACCCATTTACTGATATGGGTGCCTTCACCCAGGATTTGTGTATTACTGTATTAGCTGAGCACCTGGGAGTGGTGTTCGTAGTCTGTTGGATTGGTCCTGGAGGCCTGGGCTCAATATGCTCCATGAGGCTGAGATGCTAGAACCTCAGTGACATCATGCTGTGGAACAGTGCTCCTTAAACTTTGAGGTGCAGATGATTCATCCTGGGGTCTTGGTAAACTGTAGACTCTGATTCAGCAGGTCTTGGGTAAAGCCTAAGTTGTTACATTTCTAGCAAACTTCTAGGTGACGCCAGTGCTGCCTTCGACAAAGTAGAGGAAGGTTCGAGAGATGGAAATGTTGGAGTACAGCTACCATGCGTACCCACTAATCGGATACCTCTTAAGGGCCCAGAAGGATACTTCCTTCTCCAAGAGAGTAAGACATCCTCGCTGAGGGGAACACTAACTTCTCTGAAAAGCTCTGTTGAGGCTTCTTTAGTAGGCAGGCATGAACATTGGAGATGGGACTGGGCAATCTTGTTTAAAGAGGAATATGGAATCCTTGAGTGGTAGAGGCCAGATGCTGGCACCTACCCATGAGCACTAAGGTGAATGAAATTACTATATAAGCTACAGGGACCAGTGGTAATCAACGTGCTTTGTCCACAGGGATTTGTGGTGGTAGCTCATTGGTTACAGCGCTCATAGGAATAAAATAGGTGGACAGTTTACTGATGGGCTACCTGGCCCGCAAAGTGGAAAATGTCTCCGTCTAGTGAGGGGAAACTTGATTCAAGTTCTACTGGGGACTTAGCCAGTTCCGTACGTCAGTTCCCCAGACCTGAAGCCCTTGATTGGGTTGATGTGGGGGGTGGGGGGTATGTGGGAAGGCCTGAGTTTCTTTTGCTGGCAGATTGTATAAATCTTTCTTTTAGTTGGTGGTTCTTAAAGTGTGGTTCCTGGATCAGCAGCATTAACATCACTTGCCAGAAATGCAAATTCTTGGGCTCTGCTCCCACTCTACTAAGTCAGAATCTCTGGTAGTGGCCCAACAATCTGTTTTCCTATGTTTTCCTGGTGAGTCTGACATATCCTAAACTTTGAGAATCACGGGCCTATGCCTTCCCCAGAGAGATCTGGTGCCATTTGCCAGGGTGACTATGAATGGGGAACAGGAAATAGTCAGACATTTGGCGGGGTTATTGTTAGATGCTGTAGTGCGATAATAGTCTTGGGGACCCAAAACACCATTGTGGTCTACCAGTCAGAATGAGGGCTTATGGAAGTCGAGTGATGGGAGGATCTTGGCCCGGACCCATCTCAAAGTGAGTCTGTAAGAACTGTCCAGGCGTTATTTCTCTAGTTTCAGAATGTATGTGGGAAAAGGTATATCTCATAATTAACAATATCTCCGCGCTGGTTCCTTGACCATCGGGTGAGGAAAATTATGGTAGGAAGGGCCAAGTGGAAGTCCTTTGTCAGTGCTTGCCCCACCACCTTCCTGCCTCTAATAGTAAACTTGAAGCAGTGCTGCGTTGCTAGAGAAGTTGCGTGGATTAGAGCACCACCAAAGAAAGCCTTGAAAGATGCTGCAGCCCTTGTTCCAGTGCATTCCAACTAATCTAGCGCGTGCCTTCTTTCTATGCCATCAGGTAAAGACCACCAATATCAGCTCCTTTTCTGTTGGAATGACAGCAATACACCTTCACTGTTTTACCTCAGATATGCCACCTTCCTGCTCTGACTATCGTGATATAGTCTTAATATCCCACAGAATATCAAAGTGGGCCTTTAAACGGATGACATTATGCTTCCTGGTGCATGAAATGGCAATAACCGTAAAGGCCTTGGGCAGACCCATGTATGCCAGAGGGAGAGAAAGAAATCCTCCAAAAATTTAGGATCCTGCCACATAGATAACGTTTCCAGGCTATTAGAGGTAGGAAGGAGGTGAAAAACAATGGGCCGGGGCATGTTGCACCTTCGCTGTGAAGGACGAGGCACAAGGATTTTGGGAACCTATACCGTATTTAGGTTCACTGCTGCAGGATATTTACTGGATATGGCATAAAGCTGTTCTGAATGAGGCCCGGAGCAAGGAAGGGGTCTGCAGCAGGTCTATGCTCCAGGGAGAGTTGCACTGCTGCTTGAACCTCATGCGTTCTCAGCCCAGGGAACTTCAGATTGTTTGTGGCAGAGGAGGGTGCTGTAGGAGTCTCCATAGGAGAACTATAGCAAAGCCCCTTAGGGTGTTGGAGCAAGGCCACACCTGTTCTGCTTGAGTGTTTCCTATTTGCAAAACAGCTCCTGATTTGCCCTGAAGCCTTGGTGTGAAACTCAGACTGGTGATCACCCGGTGACAATGCAACCTAAGGGTGTTACCGATAGCAAATCACACAGCTGGGTGTGCACAGGGGCATTCCCTTGTTGAAAGGGCATTGTACGTAGGAGACCAGGCCTTTGAAGTTTCAGAAGGCATGAGTAAAAGCGTGAGCGGGTGGCTCAGATCCTTACTTGTTGTGTTCCTCTTCTTTTGATCATACTTACGACTTCATGGAGAAGTTTTGTACAGTTAACAGAGGGAGTAAAGCACGGTCTTGTCTTTCAGATGGGTCTCTAAGGTATGCTGGCATGATCAGAAGTAGATAGTTGCTTACAGTCAGGACTGGCCCTGAAAGCCAGCGGTGAAGGGAAGTCTTCACCGTGGGCAGAAGTTCAGGCAGTACACATGATGTCCGCTTTGTCAGGAAGGAGGTCTGAGCCTGAGGCCTGAAGCTATATTAATCACGTGCAGTGGCTGCAGTGCCTGCAACCAAAGCTGTCCTCTCTTCTGTAAGTGGTCCCTTCAGTAAATTCATTTCCGTTAAACCTTATTGAGCATGCCCTCTGTTTCCCACTAAGATCCTGAGTAATACAGGAATATAGCGCAGGCCCTGGCCATCGTGGCTCACTTGGTTGGGCTGTTGACCCATAACTGAAGAGTTGCAAGTTCGATTCCTGGTCAGGGCACATACCTAGGTTGCAGGTTCCTTCTCTGGTCTGAGCGTGAATGGGAGACGACCAGTGGACGCTTCTCTCTCACATCTATGTTTGTCTCCCCCCTTCCTCTCTCTCTCTAACACAGTGAAACAGTGTTCTCGGGTGAGGATTAAAAGGAAAAAAAGAAGAATACAGTGCAGAGCTAGAGAGGTTTCCATTAAAATTTGGTTAATTGCCTGGAAAGCTGGTTGCGAAAGAGCCTGAGAATTAGCAAGAAAGAGTGGAATAATGAAAACCAGGAAATAATACCAGAGGAGTTTGTACCACATTGACTCAATAAATATTTATTTAGAGGCTTCTATGTTCCAGACACTGTTCTTGGCACCGGGATATGGCAGTAAAAAAAAGAAAGAGACAAATGAACAGACAGTTCTGTTTTTGCAGATCTGTATTCAAATGAGAGATACGGGTAATGAGCAAACAAGAAACATATACAGTATGTCAGATGGCAGTAAGTGCTATTAGAAAAATAGAAAAGGCTAGAGGGACAGGGAATATTGGAAGGGTGGTCAGAGGAGACTTTTTAGATGACATGTGAGCAGAGAGGTGATGTGAAGAAAGTGAGGGAGAGAGCCATGCCAAGATCTGGGGAAGATGTTCTAGGCAGA